GCTTCTCTTCAGCAGGGACAGGGAAGCTGGTCAGAGTTGATGGGAAGATGGATGGAGCCATATACAGGGCAATCTTGGAAGAAGATCTGAAAACTGCTGTTCACAAATGCTAATCTGGCTGAGCTGGAGTTGTTTTGCAAAGAAGAATGGGCAAAGATTTCAGTCTCTAGATGTGCAAAGCTGGTAGAGACATACCCTAAAAGACTGGCAGCTGTAATTGCAGCAAAAGGTGGTTCTACTGACTCAGGGGGCTGAATAATTACGCACACTCAGTTATTTATTTGTAAAAAATGTTTGGAATCATGTATGATTTCCGTTCCACTTCTCACATGTACACCACTTTGTTTTGGTCTTTCACGTGGAATTCCAATAAAATGGATTCATGTTGGTGGCTGTAATGTGACAAAATGTGGAAAAGTTATACTTTAAAAGAATACTTTTGCAAGCCACTGTACTACAATCTGTACAGTCTCTTTAGCATTGTCGCCTTTTCTTCTTGACATTAAAACAAAGATGCTACGCCTTAAATATAATTTTTATTTTATTACTTAAAGGATATCTAGACCTCAACAATTTTTACACCCTGGTTTTCACCCCTGTGAGGGGTTCTGATTCATCTGTAGCTGCTTTTGTGTTAATAGGAAATTTTCTTTCTCTCACAAACACACACACACACAGTAAGGTTCACAGATTTATTCTATTTTGTCATTAAAACTTTGACATTTTTACCTATTTGCATATCGTTTCACTGAGGGCTCTGAGAAGGAGTTTTTTAGTCTCCACAATTCCATGTAAATTATGGTGACAAATTGTTATTTATGGTATTCTTGTGTACCTTTATGGTAAAATTGCATTGAATGAGAAGTCACATAAAGCAAAGTTCTAAAGAGTTATTATTTGTCATTGTTTTACATTTGAACTGAGACATTAATGAAAACATTTCATATTATTGCAGTTAATGTTGTTTTACTCACAGATATTTTCAACTTTTATTACAACTGAAGTGCCATTAATTAAAGCAGTATTTGACACAAACAGCTGGACAGTTTTTATACTGAGGGCTTTTTGGTAAGCAAACCTGTCTGTCTCTGTACAAACTTTCCTCTTTTTACTGTTATAGAAAACAGTGTGCATTTCATTTCTTGCAGTGACTGCTGTGCTTCAAACCTACAGATGCTAAAAATGAACTGGAATAAATTACAGTTCAATATATTATGTTTTAGTTAAGTTGGGTATTATTTT